ATATGGGGGCCTCTGGGAGGCGGGAGCCTTCCTTCGTGGGTTTAACGAGGCAAACTCGTGGAGAAATAGAAGGGGCCTTTTATCGTGGGGAACACACGAGAAAGTCTCAGACGCGCCTTTAGATAAAACCGTTTGCTTCATTTGACTCACTCAATTCAACGGATTGTTTATGATTTTATGGCGAATTTAATGATCAATTAGACAAAAACTTGACCACTTCTTTCATGCTCTACGAATAATTACTATTTACGCGTAAAAATTCGTTACACATGAGAGATTTTGGATAATTTGATAGATTGTTTATTCAAATCAAATAGATTTTCATTTTATCAACGTTTATTACTGAAATCGTGAAATTCTTTGCTTGTAGTGAATAAATGAAAATTATTATGTTATTATATCGAATGATTGTTATTATGACTGTTATGTAATAATATTTTAATTGAAGGATAGCAATTAGTCTTGGATTTAAATATATAGTTCTTGAGAGGGTAAATGAAAAAATGACAAATTTCCATTTGATTCGTATAAATGATGTTTCTGGCGAGGAAGAGAGTGAAATGGAAATTTTTTATTTGAGCGATTCACATCGCGAAATGTGAGAGGCGTCCATCGGGCACAAAGGCTTATCTCGGCCATTTCGAGTGCCTCCACTTTGCCGAGTTCATCCGCTTGTTCTTAGTGTTTCTTCTTGAGAAGAGTTGAACTCGCTAAGAGCTTCGGGGAAAATTATGTCTCTCATCACAGGTGGAGATTTTACGAAACTCCTTTTTCACCTCTTGGTTTTACTCGCGTCTCCATCCCAACGCTCTTTACATAAATCAAATCAAACTTCGCTGAATTTTCAGTATTTACCATAATTTTTCAATAACACAATGCAAATAATTTTTATCTTAATTATTTGGTGATAGAACATTCAAGTTTTTTACTGAAAAATTGTGATTTTTTGTGTAACTTTTTGACATTTGACATTTTGATTGAGTGTTATTATTATCTTGCGATATTTTAAACTGTTTTATTTTTGCAGAGTGTTATTTATGTTGTGGTGTTTTTTTGTGAAAGATCATTATTGTGTGCTATTTAGAGCGGCGATTCAATCACGAGAAGTAATTTTTTATCTCAGTGCAGTTGAGCAGTTCTAAAATTGAGCGCTGAAGACTGCTTCCGGCACGCTATACTAAATTCTAGTCTAGTTTAAAATGTATATAATAGATCTCCATAATTTTTCGAGAGCGAATCAAGCATTGAATTCAGGTCAAGACGGAGGTGAAATGGCTATGAGTTTTGTAGGGGGATGGGGGAGGCTCTCAACCATAGCACGCGTGTTCCTTTATCATTACGCAGCGGTGCTTGGTCCCCTGTTGGGGTGGGTGACGCGCCCCCCTGTGACCGGCGAAATTGGTCGTCATGCCGGTTCTTAAGATTCCGAGACGTGACGACCGAGGTTAGCCGGCGACTCGATCCTCGTTAACCACTCCCGACCAATCCAATTTCGGCTTTTGTCTCGCGTGTCCAGCGAAACTATAACACGACGCATAAATAAAAATCGGCCGAAATCGGAGAATTTCGACTGTCGATTCGAAAGCTATTCTGAATCATCACCGACGGTTTCAATTAATCATTATCTGCCTGATGAATGTGAGGAGATCACGCATCGCAGGGTTTAGTAAATAAAAAGTGATGTATGAGTTCAAGTCTAAGATTCAGTTGAGACATCTCGAAAAATTGACTTGAATCAAGTTGAAGAATTAACTTGAATAATCTTGTGGTCAAATTCAGGTCTCATTCAAAGAAAGAAAAATGTTGAGAAAAATTCATAGAAACCGTTGAAATCCCCAGAAAAAAATTTCTATTCCACTCACGCGTCCTTCCTCCCAAAAAAATCTCATCTAAGATGATAATGATCGTCGAAACTAGACGAGAAAAAATAAAATCGTCACGTAATCGGTAGAAAAACCGGGCGTCGTGAAACGTGCCCTGACGTCCCGTCCATTTTATGGACTTTTTTTTTAAAGAAAATTCATCGCAATCGGCGGCATCTGAACCAATTTAACTTGCCTTGAGAAATCTTCTAGTGTTTTTTTTTCTCAATCTTTTTTCCCTCTCCTCACCCCTTTTTTTTGTTTTTTACGCGGCGATGACATCGCGTTGTGGCCCCTACGATGAAGCATAAACGAGGGAGAGAGATGAACTGGGGACACGCAAGAAGATGAAGGGACGGTGAAAGAGAGTTGCAAGCACACACAGATTCGAGATAAAATGTCCGAACGAGGGTAAAGAAGTCCGTCGCAGGCGTGTACCAAGTGCCGATATAATCTTCAAGTTTCTTCCTCCACAAAATTCAACATTTTTCCAACTGACATTCTTCTTTTTCCCCGTTTTATTTATTTTTATTGGCTACGTGACTTAAACACGCCGAGTGTTTTGCTACAAATTCATTAAAACTTAATTACATCAATTTCACTACACGGAGAAAAATTTTCAATTTGTAAAATTGCCCTGACGTTTTTAGCAAATTCTTGTTCTCCTATTCAAGTCAAAAGTGTAATGGCAATTTTTGAAATTTAATAACTTTGATGATAAAATGTGTAATATAAAAAAATTATCTGTTTGTATCTTGAAGAGAATATGCACTAGGATTTTTATAAAATAGATAAAATTCATGTCGGTGTAATTGAATTTATTCAAAGGCTGAATAGAAATTGATCTTCCTAGACTCGAATAATTAACAATGACCCCCGCAATTAGTCACAGGAGTCCTTAAAAAGAGGAGTATCTTCAGAATTGTATAGGACCTTTTCGAATTGTCTCGTTGGAATTACAAAGGGGTTTGAGTTCCTTCGAAAGCCAGGAGAATAAAATTTCTATGGGCGAAATACATTTCATCTCTTGTCGGAGGGCGCAGGCAATTTTTGGAGGGACAAAACACGTCAATTCTCCTCACCCCTATTTCTCATTTCAACGAATTTATGATCTCGTTCCGAAGATCTCTTGCATATTTTCTGTCCGCTATTTCCTTTCACTTCCCGATCGTTTTTTATGCACTGACGAAAGTTCTGAGTCCACGGAGTGATTTAGGGATATCCGAGTACATTTTTTGCTCAGTGGTATTGGCTGTTGGTTTTTAGTATCGAATTTGTCAATTAAATTACCGCCAAACCCCTTTGCAAAATTTTTTATTGTGCGCAAATTGTTTGAACTCTCGCGCATCTGTTACCATTTTGAAGTTAACTCGTACACTGCTTCTAAATATCGATAGATCTCAAAAACTATTAAGTTTACACGAAAATGTGAAATGAGCTTTTCTGTTGAAAATTTGATCAGCTACAAAAAAGTTATTTAATGTTTCCGGCTTAAATCGATAGTTCTCAAGAGACATCGACTACAATGATAATTATTCCAAAGGAACTCGAATAAACAAAAATCGAATGTGCTTAGCGTTATTGCAATATTATTTTCCAAAAATTATTAATAGAAAATATCTTGAGAGATTGATAGGACATATTCGTAATTCAAATTATTCTCCTCAGTCTTCCAACCATTAATCAATAATTCTCTTTGTTTTTCCCTCAGAACGAATCGATTTGCAATTGCCGAGATTTAACCGAAGAAAAATATGGGTAGGTTGAGGGGACGGGGGAGAGGAAATCGACAAGAAGATCGGTGAAATCGTGCACTTGGCGAATCGATGGCAGCAATTTTGCGAGCGTGCGTTTATCGCGTTTAATGCTCCATTTGTTTCGCCGCAGGGCACCCCACCATCGTCATCACTCTCCGTACCCAGTATTTCTTATTTTTCCGTTAAACGCTGATATAAAATACAATTCGACAAAAAAATTATAATCGAACCAGTGGAAATCAATTCCGACGAACACCGCAATTATTGTACCCTCAATTTTTATCTCACGAAAAATGATTTATTCGAATCAAACAAAGTTTTTATTCAAATTGAAAATAATATTTCATTTGTTACCCATAAATGGTCATTTAATTCTAATAATATATAAATTATGGAAAGTGACGATACAAAAGTAATAAAGTAAAAATAGAAATAAATATATGATTTTAGGAAATGTTTTGAGAGAAATGAAAGAAAATTTAATTTCAAAGTCTGAGATTTTGTTTTTTTTTTCCAATAGATCATTTTTCCGCGTGAAGTTTTTCACGGGCGATTATTGATTCTCATTCATCAGGGATCGATAATCCGACAATTAAGGGGCCACCCCTGGAGGAGGGGGTCGAGAGTCAGGCGCTTCCTGACGGGAGTTATCAGATCTGTGCGGTTGTCATCTCGCCAAGAATTTACCGTCGAGGGTGACCCGGAGATTCACGCAAACGCGTGCGAGACGCTATCGTTCCCGGAACATCTTGCCGCAATCCTTGCGACTTTTCACGCGTCACGAGAATTACGCGAGTTTATTTTTCGTGGATTTATTATTCTCTCGCTATCACCTCTTACTTCATCGCATCACGGCCGAGTGAAATGGAGGAGGGAGACAAATATTTCTTGCATTCTCGAGAGAAACGAGTAAAAAACCGACATTTTCACCTTTTTATCGCAGCTTGACAAAAAATCGGAGTGCATCTCAGAAAGTATGAAAAATAGCGAAATCTTTTAAGGAGATTTTTTCTAGATCTTGGTTCGCTCTACAAAAACGATTCCTACATGAATTCCACTAGATCTTATAGATTTCGAGATATTTGGCAAAAACCAGACAAAATCGGGGTGTCTGATTTGACGCTCATATTTAAGTGGACTTTTGATTTTTTTTAACTTTCGAAATTGGAAAAATAGCGAAATTTCGTTAGGAACTTATTTGTAGATCTTAGTCCGCTTTACAAAAATGGTCTTTACAAAAATTTCACTAAGTCTCTCAGATTGCGCGATATCTGGCAAAAAGCCGTTGAAGAAAATCGAGTTGCATTGTTTTGATGCTCGCGTCCAAGTAGATTTGGAAAAAAAACTGTTTAAATAATGTTATACTGTAGTGTGGACTTACCTGGCATGCAGACACATCGAAAGGTCCCCGGATCATCGAGACAGGATCCATCATTCTGACAGGGATGACTCTCGCACTCGTTGACATTAGTCTCACACCTCGGTCCAGTGAACCCTTGCGTACAATTGCAAGCGAAAGACCCAGGGGTATTGACGCAAATTCCATCGTGCTCACAAGGCGACCCTGCGAATCATAAAAACAGTCATGAAATCCATGGAAAAAAAAAGGCCCGCAAAATTAAAGGGAACTTTCTCGCAAAGGCATAAAACCCAACGACCCGTTCCCCATTATTTTTAGTCTCAAAACGCACGTGAATGTAATTGAATTCAATCGAATGGGAAAGTCTCGGGACTGCACTGTTATGGGAAGTATAATATAGGAGTGAGATCGTTGGAGGCTGCAGTCGAGTGATAATTAAAAGGGGAATGGACGCGCGCCGCATGATTAATGCATTCGAGTTGTGGGCATTGAGGGCTGTAGAAGGAAGAAGAAACTCTTGGGCTGTTTAAAGAACTCTCCGATATAAATTTATTCAGCAGAACGTAATTGCCTGGCTTTTCAATGCCCCTCTAATACTCAAGGAGATAATACAGGTCATGAAGCATATTTTCTTCTATTTTTCATTCATCACTCATTTTTGCACTGCACAATTGCATAATGGTAATATGACCATTTTTTTCCACCTGTAATTTAGATCACCTTCTATTTATTTATTAAATTACTATCCTCGTATTTAGTTTGAAAAAAAAACAAGGAAATGCATTTCATTCGATCTAACTGCAAAGGCAAATAAAAAAGAACCATCAAAGAAATTAATATAATATAATGTAGGATTGAAAAATGGAATGAATGTATTTTGCTTGCATTCACAAGCTGAAGCAGAAAAAAGCTGCAGAAGAAACTGAGGAAATCACTACCGATATATCGCGTGCATAAGTTTTTTGACATTCTAATCACTAGATCCACATGTTCCCGGAAAAGTGGCCAGCCCCATTGGAATAGAGGAATTAATTTAATTGGTGACAGGATGATTGGTTCGTTAGACGCCTTAGTCAGCGTTGAGGAGATAGATTTGATGGAATTAAATGAAATGGTAATAAAAAAAGAAAAAGGGGAGCACGAAATAATTCCAGGTAAATCGAAGTGAGTCGAAGCGTGATCGGGATCTCAAATCGAACGGAATCCAGGGTGCGATTACGTTCTTACCGTAGATGGACACCACGTAGCAAGAATCGATCGGCATCATACGTATGAAACAAGGTGAAACCCCGCAAGGGACACGCGATGCAACGAGAAATTTCACAGGAGGTTTATATGGGTGCACCTGCCGTCAATTATCCCATATTTATCGACTTTTCCAGGGTCTCTATGCACAACAGACGAGAAAAAAAAAAGATTTTTTTCTCGTTTGGATGGCAAGTGACGGCTTTTATTCAATAATCGAGAGACTAATTTTGAAGGAGAGAATCACAAGCCGATTTAGCTAAAACTTTTCCGGGAATATCTTTGAATCTGTACAAGATAGCGATTTTTTTGAGTAAACCTTTTCGGCAGATATTTTTTCGTTCTCCAAAAAAGGTTCTACGAAAATTTCATCATCTCTGGGAGATTCCAAGTTATATTCAACGAAATTCGCGGAGGGTAAAAAGTAGATAAAGTTTTCGAGTAATATCTCTCAATTTAATAGAGACATGAAAAATTTGTAGACACCTTTTTTTCAGTGCTTATTCCACTCTATAAAAGTGATGAAATTGAAAAATTCGGTATCTTTCAAAGATTCGAAGATATTCTTCGAAAATTCAATTTGTTACTCTTTATTACCTCCTCGTTGGTAAATTTGATACCGTCTCCCCGTGATTACTTCCCTTTGCGCTCTAATTAAATTAGAATTAATTGAATATCTTGTTGAAGGCATTACTCCGTCAGATCAATGCCATAACTCATCCACGGGGAAAACAAAATTCCTCATATTCCGCTCAAATTGAATATGAGACAAGAAGCAGATTGAATGCTGCAGGTCTGTTGGCTTGATCGCGGTGGGTTTAATTGAGATTAATAGAAATTAAAGAGGGTGGATGATGCAACGGATTTAATTACGGGAGTAGGCTTATCACGGAAAAAGTAAGGCGCATTTGTCAGGACTTGACTTCCTCATGTCCCGGACTAAAACGTTCTTTCGAGGGGGATGGAATACCGCACTCGTGTAATTCCCCATCCCAGTTTTTCCATTGTAATTGCCGCCGTGTCTCATACATTGGAGTACCCGCAAGAAGGACATTGTTCGGTTGTGTTAACAGAGGCCCGACACTCAAAGGTGAATCAAGTGAATGATTTAGAAACATCCAAGCATCTCGGCGCATTTTTTATTCACATTTTTCTAAATTTTTTTCTTATTAATTAAAAAAAAATTGAATTCTCCGTTTGACTGAACTGAATTGGATTCGAATAATCCATAGGAGTTCTTATGAAAAGGAAAATGATTTACTTATAAAAATGACGAGTGATATGTGTTGGTATTTTGAATTTTTTGAGAGAAGTTATTAAATTTATTGGAACGGAAGTAAAAATCGATCGTTGACGTGATCGAGTCCCGCGTATGATCGATCGATTAATACCCCGTGTTTCGCATTCAGAGGTAAATTGCCAACACATCACCTTTCCTCCCCCCAGAATTTTCATCTCCCGTGGATTCTGCTCACAATATCCAGGAGGAACTTAATCCACCAGAAAATACGCAATCTAGATAATAACAGAGTCGACGGGCACGGCCGAGAGGTCATTACATAGTTATTTAATTTAAAATAACGTTTTAGCGTTTAATTAGATTCGTCCGTGCGCTACATAAGTGCAGGGGCCATCGCACGGCCCCCGATATTTATTTATTTTTTTCAAATTTTCCGCAAAAAATAATCATTTCCGTTAGATATTCTCGAGAACTGAACCCATCAAATTCATTTCAGAAGAAAAACTTTTTGTTCATCCGAATTTTCCTCCCGGAAAAGAGAAATTTTCTCACGACAATTTACGAAAAAATCGGTGAAATTGAATTGTCCGGAATTTTCCAACTTCGAAGTAGATTGATTTTGTTCGCTTTAAATTTCTGAGGAAAAATCATTTCCAATGAAAATTCCTAGAGAAATCGATTGGATGGAATTTGAGGATTTATTAATAAACGGATGTTGTTCACCCGAGAATATTATTCTTGTCATCTGGATGAAATGTCTTGCTTCTGGTAGTCCGGGGGATTTTCGTGCATAAAGCAGGTACAAAAACACCCCCAGGTAGTCCCAAGGGCCTCCAGGAGTATCGGCTTACTTCTTGCACACCCGCGACGTTGCCGAATTTCTACCCAACAATCGACATCTCCACCTCCCCCTTCACCCCCTATCCCATCCTCTTGGTCACCAGCACTTTGTGCTCTTCCAACAGGTAGTAGCACCAGCTACGAAATCCGCGTTTTATGGCCCAAAATCCCCCGATCCGTGTTCAAATTTCGTTAGTTTTTATATTCTCTTTTGTTGCGATATGTTGCTGACCCAGTATCCCTGATATTTCTTGCTGTGGGGTAGGATATTTCGGCGTAACTCGACGCCCGGACGCCCTCAGCGGTTCTTCAGTGACAAAGACAGAGGAAAAAGCTGTTCAACCCAGAGAGGCTTCCTGGAAATCTTATTAATTCATAAATCCGGATCCTCTGGTTTACGAAAGTCCGCGGAATTTTTTGGATGACAACAAAAATACCAACTACTTTCGATTTTTCAACGAATAGATATCTGATTTTCTTCATTCATCACACGAATTCAATACGAAATCTGTTACAATCGAAATAAACTATCTATTCTTCTCCGAAGCAAAAACAATCCTAAAAATCGAAATTTACTTTTCCAAGCAATTTCTTAACAACTTTCAAGTATTCTTTGAAAGCCTGAAACTTTTGTTGTAGATAATCAAAAAATAGCGTTAATACTCGAAAATTTTAGAATGAAGCTAAACTTTTTTTTTTTCTCTCTCTCCGTATTCGTGATTTACCCGAAACATGCACTTTATTATAACTACACTCCGAACAAATAATGACCACTAGACACGGAAACCCTCAAAAATTCCAGAGTACGACGTGATAACCCAGAATGAGCGATACCCGTAATAGATAATTACATCAGCCCGTTAATAACCTCAAGCCGATGTCCCGTGAGGCTCCTTACGATGTTCTTTGCACCATATATTTTCCCATTGGATCCTGAACTTCTATATCTAGCCGATGGGATCTCCCCCAGAGGCGTAACGCGGTGGTTCTCCGTGAAGATAAATAATCCCGAATGATTCATAAATAAACTAAAACAGGGTAAAAACTCGGCGGCTCGCCATACATAAAGCGTAATTAAACCCTTAAAATGAAATGATGCGGATGATTCCGTGGAGCGGCGATTCCCCGGGGTCCTTTGGAATGAAAAAATAAAAAATTCACCAGATGATGCGTAGGATCTTCCCCGAGGCACTTTAACCTCCTTTGCCTACAGTTTCATCCGCTGAGGTAAATAATGATGAAGTAGGATGATGCTTGAAAAGATTTAACCAGTCGTCTCTTCCGAGTAATGCGCTTATAATTACACTCCTCGTATCCTGGACCTGACACTCGATCCTGGAGTGGATGTGAAAGAGGTCCAGGGGAATATAGAAACGCAGGAGAAACGAGAGAAAGAAAATGAGAGAGAGGAAGAGAAAAAAAACGCGAATTCTTTCTGCGTATGCACGTGTGTGGGACAGTCAAGTAGTCACGATTGCTGGGATGAGTAGAATCGAGACAAGTCCACTGAGTGGACAGCACACATTGATCGGTAGACAATTAGTCTTAATCGAGGAGTCAGAGTCAATTGACTTCGGCCGAAATTTCATTCCAATGATACTCGATCCTACTGCAGGGTTGATGACTCGAGTGAGTCGGACCGATTTACAATGAGAGCGAAAAAAAAACTCTGATAAAGGAGATCTAGTATATATGTAGAAGAAAATATTCACTTATCAACTCGGGAAATAGTGAGATTATGATAATTGTGGAGCCTAACACCACAACACCCAGGAGTTCTTGGGATTTCTTGTAGATCAAGCCCATGAGACTGTACGAGATTTATTTTTCCCATTTTTATAAGATTTTATATGATTAGATTAGAAAAAAAAACTTTGTCTTCCAAAAATTGGAAATGAAACCCGTAGGCCTACGCCAAAAAAAAACTTTCCTCGTGATATTTGCAACATGATCTACCTTGCAAAAAAATTAAAATTAACACTCGGTTAGCTAGATGCGATTGCAAAGAATGAAATTTCGATTCGATTGCAAGGAAATAAATCATTTGCAGCTCACTACACACACCTCATACCCTAGTGAATACGAAATTCTCACTGTCCGAACGAATCGTGTTCAATAAATTGACTAATCATACGATTCAATACGTCTCGGTCTCACTGACAATCAAATAAAAGCCAACAGGTTTAGGTCCCGTACAAATTCCCTCATACGATTTAATCTAGCCAGATGCATTGGAAGTCACCCCTGAATCAAGACGATTCAAAGCGAGCAATCGTCTCCGTACAGGATCAAAAAGAGACTTAAAACCGTCTCGTTGCGAGTGTGTTGCCAAGATCGTTATTATCATCGACTAGTAATCTCCCCAGGACAGGGTCTGCACTCCCCGCAGGGCATAAGTCTTGCTGTGCACTTAAAAACCCATTTCCCCCTTTTTCCATTCTGATTGAACTTCTGTCACTGGTGTTTCCAACCAGTGACTCGAGCTGTCACTGATCGTATATTAATTGCCGTGCCCCGTTAATTATCAGGAGAATCAATAGAAAATCCCGACGACAGGCTACCGATAAAATTCCCTGGCAAACCCCACCATAAACGTGCAATCACCCTGATTTATCTAATCGTTGGCCTATCGAGGGCAAATATTAATGACTGAAGCTGTTTTGAATCGAATGACAGATAGATCTCGGGCTTTTTCTCCCCCTGGAATGCTCGATCCTATTAAACTACACGAGAAAAAAAAACCGAGCAAGAAATAAAATACAGAATAAAAAAAAAGGACGGACAAGAGAAAGAAGGCAAGCGCCTTAAGAACTCTATACAAGATGTGCCAAGGGAGCGGCCAGTAAAATCGTTCTAAGTAAATCCCTTTCATTTGCGGCGCTCGATAATAAATAAGGCGAGCCAACTCGCTGTTCCTCTAGTGTACAGACCTGGCAACTCGGTTAATGCGTTTCCTCCCAGACAAAGACACTTCATTAATAATCAGAAGCACTTCTTTTGTGTCTCATCTTACATTCACTCCTATGCCCGCTGTCCTTCTATTCCCCCAAGAGGTTCATCTTCTGAGATTACCTCCACTACACTATGAGAAAAAACTACTTTTCATAAAGAGGATTTACTAGAAACAAGAAAATGGTCTCCTGTCAATTTTGAAAATTCTGAATTTGATTCCTATTGAATCCCTACAATAAAAAACATTTTCCCTCCAAATTCCTTCGTATTGATCATTAGTAATAATTTCTTTGATGTGATTTTTTCTACATTTTCCTCAATTTTTCTGATGAATGAAAGAATAAAAAAATATTCCTCATGATCCTATCAATCATCCATGTCATGTTAATCAGACAATCAATTTTCCAGTTATTATTGTAAGATGCCATCTAATTTGATTGATTAGAAGATTATTTAGTTGCTTGAACGAGTCACTCAATCTCCCATCGATTCCGTAAAATTAATGAGAATAACGACTGCATGCGTGTATAATTTTTCGTTAAACCGTTTAGTCAACAATTAATTCTCCAGGTTTATGGAGCTGGCTCGTAAATAACTCTGTGTATGGATTTAATTTATGATCCTTACCTTGTTCGCACTCATCAATGTCCTCAGAGCAGTCGAGGCCCTTGTAGCCGCTGGCACAGGAGCACGTGAATGATCCGTTTATGGGACTGGTGTCGCATATTGCACCCTGATGACACGGATTCGACGTGCAAGCGTCATCCAAATGGCAGAGAAGACCTGAGAACAAGAGAATTCACCAAAACATGAATGACAAAACCTCTCATCTCAAGTTCCAGGGAGATGGACGGATGAAATATCGCCAGTTAGTTTTTGTATTGAAGTTTTTTTAACTTATTAAAGGGAACTGTTGTTTGTCTCTAGGACAAAAGTGTCGGGGAATACCAAACATGGGAGTCGATCGTCGTCAACCAAAGAAGGAGATCTCTGAGGGACTCTGGCTTTTCGACTCTCCTTCTATATAATCGTGATGTGGGGCCTGGAGGCATTTACGACGACATCACAGACTCTCCACCGACAAATAATTTCAACTTCTATATAAATTACACGATTCCCATTATGAGGGCCCACCATGTACCGAGTGGAATGACGACTCTTCAGTTTCTTTCTATCAGCTTTCAAGTGCCTAATCAAACAACTGGAATATGGAACACGAGGGGGACAGATGTCCTCTCGCCTTGGGCTTGCCTTATTCGTGTTCCCCTCTTTTTATTTCATGATGATTCTAATCATGCACGTGCAATAATCTTGCAATAATCTTGCAATAATCTTGCAATGATCTTGTATTTCCTCGGACAAATCAATGTCATTGAGTATTAAGTTATTGCAACAGGAGGAATGACTTTGCTCTGTCCCAGTTTCGGCTTTTTGGATATCTGAATAACATCTGGAGTTGACTCACCTGTTTTTCCATAGGTGCATTGACAGTAGAAACTGCCAACTCGGTCGATGCACGTTGCACCGTTGAAACAAGCAGCACCAGCGCAGTCATCGATGTTGACACTGCAGTCGGGTCCTGTCCAGCCATTGACACAGATGCAGGAATAGCTACCATGTGAGTTTGTACATGTTGCACCATTGTGGCAGAGAGACGGTCTCAATGAGCACTCGTCCACATCTAGCTCGCAATAAGGACCCGTGAAAGCTGGTGGACACAGACAAGAGTACTCGTTGATTCTGTCCATGCAGGTCGCACCATTTTGACAGAGATTGCCATGACAGTCGTCAGAGTTCACTTCACAGTCCTTTCCTTCGAAACCTGGAAACCAGAAGGATAATAATTACGAAAAGTCTTTCACCTCAAAAAAATCAACCATTCATTTGAAATCATGTGATGACAAGCAATACCAATGCTTTGATGTGATCAATGCTTCTCATAATGTCTAGATTGAATAGAACTTGCTGATAGACAGGAGATGTTTTGATTTTTTTTTTGTTCCGAGTCAATCACTTGTTTTGATGGGCCTGAAGGCAAGATTAGGGGATCAGCAGGCGTGACAAGAGGAATTCTCAACTTGAAGATCAAATATTTAGATTGTCGAAGACTGGCTAATGGATTGGCAACGGCCTCGCTTGACCTTCCAGTCCAGTGAAGTGTAAGCTTTGACTTCTTCATTGTTGCACAATCAAATCAATGAAGAGTGAACTATGATTGACCACCGGCAATCCATGACCGCGGACGGGGCTGAATTCCAGGGAAATTAGAGTAACTTAATGGAGTGAGAACTGATGGTGAAGAATCTCCCGGCAAAAAGTACAGTGAAGACAAATTGTTTTAGTGTTTTGTTATCTCTCGTGGAAGGAAACCAACAAACCGCAGAACCCGAAGGGGTCTCGATAAGAAGCGCGGGTGTTAAATTGATAGGAATGGAGTAAAGCGTAAATACAAACAAGGGGCGAGGGGGGGTTAAGGGGAGGAAGGGGAAGGGACACCGAATGGCTAACACGATAGAGTCGTTCAAACGTGGGAAACAAAACCGCGAAAGTGGAGAAGATAACGAGGAAACGATACCTTCCTTCCTATAAAGCCCCCCCTGAGCCACTTCCGGCTCTTATCCCTGTACTGCTTTTAAACTAAATCATTGCATGTGTGGAATATAAAATTGTGGAAATATCGCTCAAAACCACAAGTCACTCACCGAAGGGCTGGTGATTTTAGTTATAATTACCCTCATTCCCACAGATTTGTAAGGCAAGTTAAATCATAAACAGGACTTTAAAGTTAATGAACTCGATTCGCACTGGCTGTGCGTCTCAATGTGCGGGATTTTTTTAAGAAAATCGCATCGTAACTTCATTGAGTATTTAAGGGCTCTTCATAAACTTGTTGGGCTGGTCAATAAGTGGTAATGAGGTGTCTTGATTTTTTTTTTTTATGATGTGCATTCATTTGATTTTTTCGAAAACTCGATAGGTTACTTCGGGCGATTCTTTATCTGGCGATAGCTGTCCCTCCGGATGATGCATAACCGAGGCTGGATCACATAGTTGGTATTTAATGGGCCGCATAATTTATGCCCGATAGGGTTCCATCTTAACTATCGACTGTTCTATGCAGCACGACGGCGTAAAGAGGTCTACGGAGTTTTCTCGTGACCCACGACTTTATTATACACCTACGGCAGCAACGGCCATTAATATTAAGAAGTGGTGGACGATTTAGATTTTTTTTTTCTCTCCCCGGGATTTATTTATCCCCCTTCCTAAATATCGAGGGGAAACCCTGGGGGTGGGTCTTTGGCTTCCCGGAAGAATTTTAACCCGATACATCTCCCGTGGAATTTCCTCTGGGGCTCTTGGCTTGAGTTACACAGCGGCTGATGCAGATCATTTTTCAGGAATAAATTAACCGGCTTTTTTGCAATCTCAATTTTTTGGGAGAGTCAAAAAAAAAATCTGTTTTTTATATTCCACAGGTCTTCACTGGAGACTTCTTAACTCTCATTGTCTTAATTTCCAATGGGCGAATCTGTCAATTTTCCACTTTGAAATTTTTTTTCGAATCGAAATTTTTAATAAGGGGAGGCTTCAAACGAAAAATGAATTTTTAGTGAAAAAGCCGAAATTTGTATTTAAATAAATCTTCCGAAGTAAAAGTCTCAACACAAGGTTGATTTTTTAATGAAAAAATTAAATTGGAAAAGTTGGATAGTGCAATCTCAACGGGGACACGATTTACACCGATCCGGGACGAATCGATTGTCGGGAAATATCGATAGAGCGGCGGCAACAAAAGGATACGGATCTCGGAGATCATACCGACGATATTTGCCGGACGATTCGTCGCGGGTTTTTGCCAACATCTCATCATGTTTGATTTATCCCTCTCCCCCACCAACCTTTTCTCCAGGTATTCGTGTTTTTACAATGTTGTTTTCATCATGCACTTGATGTCGGGTCGATTGAAGAATGAAAAAAAAAAAAAACCAGGCGATATGTGAAGCGGAAGACGAATTGGGAGTGATCCCTTCTGACTTATTCGAGTGCCGAGAAGAAAAGCTACGATAAAACGATAAAATCGAATAGTACTTTATCTCGACTATTAGAATTCAATATTGCCGGGAGTTTAAAGCGTTAGGAATGAAATTTGAATAATCCATAAGTTTTTTTCGATGGTAAATAAAATGTAAAGAGGATGCAGAGCCTTCGCTAATAATGCTCGCACCCTTATTTCCATAACCGACTGTCCTTTCTCGGGCACTTCTTCTCGGAAAGCCTCCACCCTTTATCAGTTCTGCATGCGAGGCTCGACGAAAAAGCCGATGTATAACCAAATAAAATGGATTCAGAAATAAAGAGGGAATAAAAATAAAGTGGGATGACGGGGGGGGATTTAAAAGGCGTAGGTGCGTCGGACGGAAGAAACGGGCTCGCTACTTATAAATCAACGGTGGTCCCCCATAATTGCGATTGTCCGTGGCTCTGCTCTCGATCCTCTCCCTCTGTCCCTTCGGGGAGGCCATCTCCCTCGCGTGTTCCCTCCGTCCAGAGAGTCCGACACGAACCCCAAGGATACGCATACGTTACTCCTTCGTTACAGATACAGACTGAATAAAGTCCTTTTTTGGTGCGTCTCTTTTTGTTTTAAATCCGGAGAGCACGCTTTTTAGGCCGTACACTTCGGTTATTTGAATTGAATGAATATTTTTGCATGTGACGACAACCCTTTGATTTGTTGCACGACGCATTTCGTGGTTGTATTCAGATATTTATGAGGGATACAATTTGGGGGTTAGAACTTCGGAAATTTCATCTTAACCCCGATTTTTCGGGAATTCGCGCGGAATTATTGGGGTGGAATTGGTAAAATTGAATTTCACCATTTTCAGTAATTGAAATTTCAATTAATTAACGATCAAATTGAAATTTATCGTTGTAAAAATAATGGGAGCCCCGGGATTTCACATAGCGCAACATCGCCGTCGTGCATCCAAAGGATTCACTTTTTCTCCGAGTTCCTTTCTCCTTCACTAGGCCACATTTTTTTTTTTCAAAATCCCGAGTATCGAGAATCAATTCCCTTATTCCCTCGATTCCTCGGAAACATTGACATTGTGCGGGTGCTATTCTGCTCCACTTACGCGTGAAAGATTCCCTTAAACTTCCTCCTCCCCCGATTCCACTTTTCAATAATCCCCGGGGGAAACGGGGAATAATCGAAAATAGTGGACCATCCGCAGTGAATTCTTGGGTGTGTGTCGTGAAATTCTTTGGAGAGTAATCCCGGCCACATCCGAAGCCCATTGGGGTGTCTTTCCACTCGACTGTTCTTTTTTTCCCTTCCATGAGTATCACCTCTCTCCCTTCGCCTTTCTATCGCGTGCTCTCCACCGCCTGCACTCGTCACATCTGTGTATTTATCTGGAATAATGTGTGTGTGTGCGTGCGTGTGCCCAGTGCTTTGTATTGTGAAGAAGGGGGGGCATATAGTCTGTCCTGGTCCGGGGCACCAAGTGCCTCGTCGACGAGGTGTGGCAACGTTGCGAGAGCGGGTGTGCGTCCCGAGGCGGCCCCGATCCTGGTGGGGACTGTGGGAAAATTCTCATGCCGCCGACTGCGGCGAACAGCGGCTCTCAATCTGGGACTTACTTGTCCGTTAAATCGATAAAGCGATTCATCAAAAATCCGCAATTCCAAACAATAAAATGTCAACCTCAGTCAAGTCGAGCCAGATCTGACGCAGGTGAACTTGATTCAAGTTGTCTTTCAGCTGGATTTCAGGGATGAATTTGATTTGACTCACTCGTCAATTTATTGGAAAACTCCATTTTCCTGAGGCAAATAGGTGTATTGATTTGAATCAAATCGTCCTGAATTCATGCTTGATCCACGTCCCGCCCGACAACTAAATCAATTCAGACTCAACTTGAGTCAAGTCTGACTCGAGCTTATTCAAGTCGACTGTACCACTTGATTAAGGGTGAACTGAATTAGGATGTAACACGCCCCTTAGATCATTTTAAAAATTTCATGAATCAGATTGAAAAAGTCTTTTATATCAAGTTGTTCCCAATTTTCAGTTGATCCAGGTTGGCTACAACTTGATTCGAGGACTTGAGTCAAGGGGAAACTTGACTAGAATCATTATTTTTTTTAAATATCCCCAGTTTGCCACTTTTCGTACTGTTCCTCTCCCAATAATCACATCAATCAGCAAGTCTTGTTTCGTGTGTCCTGCGCTTCCTGGGGATTCTTTCAGGGGACATTGTCTACCTAGTGATTCGTTTTGACTTCTTAATCGGGTTTCCGGTAGTGAATGGAACCCTTTACTCACTTTTTTAAAGGTTTTCCCCAGTGGAAAAGGGGTTCCCCGACACAATAGAGAGGCGCCTGATGAAAGAGTTGACTTTTGGATGGGAAACACTGGGACTCGGGCCCGATAGACGGCGGAGGTTAGGGGCCCGTGCCTCCCCCACCAAAAAGCCACGAGAGCGGCGATGGGTGGCCACGGGGCCTCTCTGCAGGGGTGCAACGAGGAAAAATCCGGGTAAATTATTTTCTCTTTGCAATGTAGGTGAATTAGGAAGGAGGCCTGTTTTCTAGTTATATCAAATATATACTGTGCAGGTGAGGTCGATATATCTGTGATGTCATTACGGGGCCATTTTGAGAAAAAGTCCTAATGTCGCTACGCCATCTATAGGAGCTCTCCACGTTTCTAGATTTTTATAGAAAACTCTAGAATATTTCAAATTTTTCCAGAAAATTCTCAAAAATTTGAGTTTCGTAGACCAATTGTGGAAACGCTCGAATTTAGAA